GAGGAAATAGGATCCTCCGGTGATAAGGAGCTCCTGAACGAGTTTAACTTGGGGAAAACCGCTAATTACAGACACTCTAAGGCCAAACCAAATGTGCGGAATTATTAGCCGCGTACAATTAAAATTAGTTTAAGGAACCAACGCCTAAGGGCAAGCTATTGGAGCACATGCGAGCTGGCCAGCTCTCTCTAACGAAGGACTGCGTCCACTCCTATGCTCGAACCGATTACATAGGGAAGAGTTGGAGTATGATCGCGCCCTCCGCAGGAAAGCTGGGATGATGAACCAAGAAGAAGGTAAGCTTCTGTATGTGGTTCGCGACCTCGCCATTCACAAGCTTTGAACCCCCCGGGACCTCCCCAATCGCGAACAAAAGGATAGGTCGTCAACGCTCCCGCAAAGCCCACAGGCGCGCCCTGCCCCAATTATTTCTGCACCAACTTCTCCAGTGGCAAATTGCTAGGGCATACGATCAATCAATGGGTGCAAAAAGGGTTCAGACATAAGCGATACCCCCTGCGCTCCTCCAGGGCCCACCATGGACGAGCGCAGGGGGTTTTTCTTAATAAATGCGCGCTCCGTTGTCAACAAAATTGCCGATCTAAACTTTCTCTTCCAACAAAGACCTCGCGCAGTTTTAATCAGCGAAAGCTTGTGCAAACCTAGCACAGTCCATGATGCGATACTAAGCTATGATTCCGTGTATGACGCTTACCGTTGTGATAGAGAATGCAATAGGAGTGGAGATGGAGTACTGGCTCTCATTCATAAAGATATTTTCACAATTTCCTAAACAAAAATCATTTCTCTGAGCTTATACAGGCACTGCTGTTTGAGATCAAATCTGGCTCACAAAAAGTCATCATAGTACTTGCCAACCGTAGTCCATCCAGCACCACTGCTGTCTTTTCTGATTTCATCGATTTCCTACATGAGTTATTTGACGAATGGGATGGTCGCATCGTTGTTTTAGGAGATTTCAGTTTTCCATTAATTGACTGGGCCAGCATGACCTGCAGAGGAAATGTCTCTTCGCATTCAATGCGATTATTTCTCAACTTTTCGAAACAGTTCAACCTCAAACAAATGGTAAATGAACCAACATGGGCTCAACATTTTAGATATTGCACTAGTTTCTGAGCCAGATAAGATCGAAAACCTAAACGGAGGAAACTATGACGCTATAATTTCCGCGCTTACCCACCTTAACTGGACCAATATTAGCTGCACCTCAAACAGTACCAATTCGTTCTACTCGGAACTCTCGAAACTCTGTCACCACTTAATTGAAAAATATATAGGGCTTCTAAATTCCAATGGCTAAAGTTAGGCATCATCACGCACCTCCGTTGAATTTAACTCAAGAGGTGCAACATATGCTCAAAAATTGAAACGTCTACTTCTTCGTCATCAGATGAAGGAAGAAGCGAAAATAGCGCAACATAGAAATACCAAACGATTCTTCTCTTATTGCCGAAAAAAGCTAAAAGTCGCTGACAACATCCCAAACTTGTCTTCTTCAGAAGGTACCTTGACTGAAGACGATCTGGCCGAGGCAAATCTCTTCGCCAGCTATTTCCAAACCGTCTATAAAAACCCGCGTGCTTCTGACGCTAGCCTACCTCGTCTGTCACCGGATTCTCTAGATTGGGTAGACATGAATTGTCTATAAAGCACTACGAAAACTCCCGGACAGGGTATCCTCCTCCTCTGACAAAATTCCATATATTTTCTTGAAAAGGGCCGCACTTGCACTAGTGGCACCATTGACTATATTATTCAATAGAGTTCTACTCCACGGTAATGTTCCTAGTCTATGGCCTTGTCAGACCGATCTTCAAAAAAGGTTCCAAAAGCAACGTTAAAATTTACATACCCATCTGTTTAACTAGCTCTATCAGCAAAGTCATGGAACGTATTCTTTGTCAAAAAATCAGTAACTACTTAATGGAAAGAAAATTACTCAACAATAGCCAACATGGATTTCTAAGACGCAGGTCGACTATGTTTCATTGATTCCAAGTTTCACTGTGGCACAGAGAGATAGACAAGGGGGCTTCTAGTCAGTCTGCTACATCGACTATGCAAAAGCCTTTGACTCCATCTCTATCCACTTCTGCTTAAAGACCTTTCAAGCCTATGGTATTGGAGACCGCCTACTCCTGTTTCTACAGCCTCCCTTAGTACATCATCTCAATCGGTACTCATTAACCAAATCTCAATCCTGCTTCTACCAAACACCTAGTGGTGTACCCCGAGGTACTTGCATTGAGCCTCTGATGTTTGTCATCCTACTGTATATAAATTCGCTGAGTATGTCTGTGTGTGTGTGAGGTCTGCGGGTGTGTGTCTTCCACGGAACTCATAGCTCGCGTCAACAGGAACGATGGTGCGGTGGTTTCTACATATGTTATAGAGCGTTGGATGGGACACAAGTGGTACGTGATAGGAACTGGATGACGACTGATAATAGCTGATAGAAGGGCTAGAAAGCGAGCATCGCACAATTTCGTTTTGTCGTTCATATTGGTACTAGAGCGTCTATACTCACAAGTGTTATGTGGGGGGGGGTCTCGGGACATTGGTGGTACATGGCTGAAAGCGATAGCAAATGATAAGGGCTGACAAGATCTGTTAAGAACACAAAGTCGTCGATTCCGTTACCGGCGTCGCACTGACACCAGAGCGTCATACTGACAAGTGTTATGAGGGGTGGGACGGAAACATTGTTGATGGGTGACTGATAGCGAATGCAACTGATTAGGGCTGCATATATTAGGTTGTAAGCAAAGTTCTGTCTGCTTTACGGACCGTGTTTTTGCTATTGCACGGTACTCGAACACCACTGACCAACTTGCCACGCGGGCTTGGAATATAACCTCAAACTTGGGTAATTAAACGTTTAATAAGGAATTTTACGAAATACCAATCATTAAGAACGTCTACGACAATAATCAGAGAAAAAATTAGGTTTCAAACTATTTTAAGGCCTATTAAACTCATATTATTCTAAAAAGCTTATCGTGCCCGTGCAAGACCTTAATCTAAAATTATACGAGGATTAGAATTGAAATACATGAGAAATTCTACCAGACAGAGAAAAAATACGGAGAAAATCAGTGTTGCTGAAACGGATCTGCCTACGCATTCATGGCTTATATTCTGCGATTGATCAGATAATGGTCAAGAATTCAATGTTGTCTGAGAACAGCATGGAACTATCTAACAACATATTCTCCTCGATCACATTCCATTTCATTTCACAGTAAACAATCAACATGAACTAAGTGAAATCTACTTGTTAAGAAGAAATACTGAACTTCGAATTCAGTATACTCCGCCAGAGCTGAACCGGTTCAGTAATCCCTTCTGGACGGTCCAGGCTGGCAGTCCATGTCCGAAGATGACTTCTCGGAGTTCCCTCTTTGCGTCCCTGCTCGATTACGTTTAGAATCTCGCTGTGTTGCATGCGATCCCCGTGCCTTATGCGAAGATGGTGGCCTTTGCTTCTGGGCATCCGCTGAAGATTTCCTGCAACAATCAATCACCATTTGAAGCTCGTACCTTCGTCTGATTTTGTTGGAATACTCTTCCGGCCAAGTGCAAATGCTGCAATGGTGGGTGATCTCGGCTTCAGAACCCTTAGGTTTGCAGTAGAAACACGGGTACAATTTTGCGCAGGATCTACCGAAATGACTTTCCACACAGAGAAGGCATCGTCCATCAGCTGCCAATATTCTGAGCCTTTCCGAGACAAGGCGTACATTAGGGCAGGCGTCTGAGTAATGTTTGCCCACTTCCTTGCAGTACGAACACATGAGTAGCTCTTCACCTTTCTTCATGACTCTATTACCGAATCGCCTTTCCCTTACCATGTGAGTATTGAGAAATTGCATGATGCCTTGCAGCTCCCTTTCACACTCTTGGAGAAGTCCTTCCCTTGCATCATTCTCATGTTGTGACGCCTCACTTCTGCGGCCGTTCGTGCTGTGATCGATTTTCTTCGCTATCCATCCACGCATCTCTTCGAGATCGGTAGTGAGCTCAGCTTTGAACTTTTTGTAGCTGCCTGCACACCTCCTCATCTGATCCATTATCTCCTTGCGCCCTTCAGCTTCATCCTTGAGCTGTTTCAGAATATCCTTGAAGCATTCGGTATTCCTGTTACACTGATCCATGATCGTTTTGTAGGCATTTGCCATCTGAAGCATTCGCTCATCTTCATCCTCATTGCGTCTTCTGATCTCATCCTGAAGGTCCAAATAGCCCATCCTCATCTCGTGCATTGCTACTTCTTCAAATGAAGCCATTCGCCTCGCGTCCATCTCTGCTTGTTCAATACCTTCCCGTTCTTCTTGCAGCAAAACAGCAAACTGCCTCAGCTGATACTTTATCATTTCGGTGACATCCTTTCGAGCGTAACTGCGTTGAGTCGCAACTGGCTGCGGGTATCCACGATCTCCTGGTTCTGTCGGCTCAAAAACTGTTTCTTCGCCGAGTTTGGACAGGAATTCTAGCCTGGAAAGCTCGCTAACCTCATCTACCGTAACCAAGATTTCATACCATTCGTGTGCAAGCACAAAGAACTCTGTTGCTGATACAAGATCCGCCTTTTGTTGTTGATGAGTGACCTCCAGCTGTTTGATTTTCACCAAAAAGTGAAAGGCTCCTCCCCGCCTCGCGAAAAGGTCTGGCTTGTCGTGCATCAGATTGGCGTATTCGTACCTGGCCTGTCGAATGATTGTACGAGCCTCATAGCATTTGTCACCAAAAAATCGAATGCGTCGTTGCACTAGTGCTTCCGAGGGGCGAGTCGGTGAGCTTTCGACGATGAGGATTTTCCGTCTCAGTTCCTGTTTTAGTCTTTCTTCGAGATCCGAGGACGTCGACATTCTGAAATTCCATAATTTTAGTAAGTGTTCGTTATTGTTGATCAGCCACTCATGCAGACAACTGGCATAACAGTTTTTATGTTCTCGTGCTCGTGAATCTCGAAGAAGTCAGAGTAGTTTTTCCGTCGGCTTCCCACCGTCGCGGCTGCTTTTTTGCCACAGCCCTTTCATTGGAGTCCATACTCCGATTCGAATCGCCCGGAAAAGCAAATGAGTAATTAGCTTGACGACACAGAGTATTAGTTTGAAGAACAAACAGCATGCACTATTAACTATGCAGAAATAAGTAACCGCCAGTGCTATCGCAACCGCGATACCAGTAAATAGAAGAGTTCCACTCCATTTCAGGAAAACATCAAGCATGTGACCAAAATCTGGCAAATTTATTTCCGAGTATAGCTCGCTTTCTCCATTGATAATTCGCCGTGCGGCCATGAACATGCTTCCTGTATAGCGAAGCGTTCCGACAATCTGGAATTCTTGCTGAGCGTTTCCACACTGCACGGTGCAGTCGATGTTAAATTTTGCTCTATCCGATGTAAAACGGAGCTCCGACTGAATTCCTTCGCTTGAGCATGGAACCGTGAATGCGTTATTCCCGCATCGAATTTCTGCCCTTTCTTCCCTAGTTGACGAGGTACATACAATCTGGGCTCGTGCACCTTTTGCGCAGTTATAGCAGCCTGTGCACAGTGCGTTTTGAACTGAGCAGATGGCGTCTGATGTTACAGCTGTCGTGCTAACCTTGTCCTTGATTCTCAGAATAAACTCTGCTGTTGTTGAGTGTAGAATCCTTGCTATCAACTTTCTGTTGCTCGTTCGAAATTCCAGGTTTGGTCGTAATATTGGCAACTGGTATTCCAACTTGGAAATGTAAGAGGTAAGGTTGAATTCCCTACAATCACACAACATCCTCGTTTCTGCGGGTGAGCACTTACAATCTTCTGACACGTCGCATGTCATATTGCTGGCATCTTCCCATGACCGACACCTGAGTGGTGGATCATAATTCTTAGGCGCAAAGGCTGTCCGAATGCCATCAGTCAGAAATTGGGAGTTTAAGAGAGGGGTAGGAGGCACACTAAGTGACGAAAGGGTGATGGTGAATGGCGGTATCCTTTGGGGTTGGTTTGGAAGGACGTGAAAATCATAGATCCTTTGAGTGTTTGGTCCATTCACAGTCATCTGAAGATTCACGATTTCCGACCATCTCGCGCACCGGAAAAATTCATACACCGCATCATCATTGGGAATCAAGTAGATCCTGTAAAAGAGACATCCAGCACTAGGAAGGAGACACTCGCAGCCTAGGCCTCCACAGCTCTCTACACATCCTGTAACGCCAGGGTAATCGTTGGCTTTATTAAGCTCCTCTATTTGTGATGTACGATTTACTGCAGCGCATTTATCCCCTACACATGATCCCTTCAGCGGGCATCTTTTACTGTCTAGTAATTCATATCTTGTGCTGCGTGAAAACATTAATGTCTCCTTTTCGCAGACCAGATCCAAATTTTTCCACAGTAACTTGACTTCAAGGATATTGGTGCTATTACCGATGAGACGGAGACATGCTTCCTGCTTGAATGGATTGATTTTTATTATTTCCGATGTATCCACTGTGCACGACTCTCCTACGTCCGATTTTCGACAAGTGAGAATATGATGATCATGTACATCAACTTCCTGGCATCCCTTTGTGACGGTGGAGATTATTGAGCTTCTGGCATTCTCCCTTTTGCTCACAAGTCGACTGCACATTCTGCGTAGCCACATTGGCAAACCCAGAGTGCTGGCCGCAGACAACGATCTTCCTGATAGGATTTTTGGTGTACATGCTTATCACGCTATGCTACTTTCTCTTCCACGTGCCAGTTATCCTGGGCAATCCAATACTCTACTTCGGACAGACTGTCGCAAGGATGGGATTTTTAGTTGCGACATCAATACTCCTTTTCCTACTAAAAACCCTGCCGGCAATACTTCTGAGCCTACTGAGAAGAGCCAGAAGACAGCGACGACGACGCCTATGGTCGGAATTGGCGGTCATGGTATCGATAATGATGCACCTCAGCCGTTGACCGCAGAAGCGACCCTGCAACAAAAGAACTAGCTGAAGTACTGAACTATGTCCCAAACGTCCCACTCCCTAGACCTCTTTCCTATTCACCGCTACTTTTTCAATGGTCTGGATAGCACCTTAAAAGGGAAGTGCCACGAAATCGAACATGTTAGTGGAACGACCTTCCCCCTCCATCGCCTCTAAAATTCCACTACTTCCAGTGAACGGATTGATAAACACAAGGAATATTCGTAAGAGAGAGTAGATCCAGCAGGGTTCTACCGCGATCGCAAACGCTGCGTTTGAGTCGAGATATGCACATTTGAACTTCAGGGTCTATACTGAATTCGAAGTTCAGTATTTCTTCTTAACAAGTAGATTTCACTTAGTTCATGTTGATCGTTTACTGTGAAATGAAATGGAATGTGATCGAGGAGAATATGTTGTTAGATAGTTCCATGCTGTTCTCAGACAACATTGAATTCTTGACCATTATCTGATCAATCGCAGAATATAAGCCATGAATGCGTAGGCAGATCCGTTTCAGCAACACTGATTTTCTTCGTATTTTTTCTCTGTCTGGTAGAATTTCTCATGTATTTCAATTCTAATCCTCGTATAATTTTAGATTAAGGTCTTGCACGGGCACGATAAGCTTTTTAGAATAATATGAGTTTAATAGGCCTTAAAATAGTTTGAAACCTAATTTTTTCTCTGATTATTGTCGTAGACGTTCTTAATGATTGGTATTTCGTAAAATTCCTTATTAAACGTTTAATTACCCAAGTTTGAGGTTATATTCCAAGCCCGCGTGGCAAGTTGGTCAGTGGTGTTCGAGTACCGTGCAATAGCAAAAACAGTGGTGCATCGGCCGCTTAAGAAGAATCCGGACAACATCACTACAGGTTGCATTCCGTTCCCGGCCCGGTCCCCGGCCGATGCACCACTGTTTTTGCTATTGCACGGTACTCGAACACCACTGACCAAATTGCCACGCGGGCTTGGAATATAACCTCAAACTTGGGTAATTAAACGTTTAATAAGGAATTTTACGAAATACCAATCATTAAGAACGTCTACGACAATAATCAGAGAAAAAATTAGGTTTCAAACTATTTTAAGGCCTATTAAACTCATATTATTCTAAAAAGCTTATC